GGTGGTGCTGGTGGTGGCGGTGGTGGTGGTGGTGCTCCTGCTGCTGCTGGTGCTGCTGCTGCTGCTGATGCTGCTGCTGCTGCTGCTGCTGCTGCTGCTGCTGCTGCTGCTGCTGCTGTAGACGGGTATGTCTAAAGGGGAGAGAAGAGACAGCAGGATGGACGCTTATCCTGGAGGAGACACCTGAAAAGGAGACACCTCAGCATACACCCCACAAACAGAAAAAAAAATAAAAAAAAAAGAGACAAAAAAAAAGAGACAAAAGAAAGAGAGACAGAAGAAAAGGAGACAAAAGAAAGGGAGACACCTGAAAAGGAGACACCTCAGCATACACCCCACAAACAACAAAAAATAAAAAACAGAAAAAGAGACAAAAGAAAAGGAGACAGAAGAAAAGGAGACAAAAGAAGAAGAGACAGAAGAGGAGACAATAATAAAGGAGACAAAGAAGGAGACAAACAAAGAAACAAAAAAAAAACAAAAAAAAACAAAAAGAAAACAAGAAGACAAAAAAGGAGACAAAAAAGGAGACAGTAAAGCGAGAAGAAAATAAATTAAAACAAACTAAATAAAATAAATAAATAAATAAAAATAAAAATAAAAATAAAAATAAAAAAATAATACTAGTTACCTCTTCCTTCTCTTTCTCTTCTCTCCTGCTGAGACACCCCAACAACAAAAAAAAAAACAAAAAAAACAAAAAAAAACAAAAAGGAGACAAACATAATTAAAAAGAGACAGAAAAGGAGACAGAAAAGGAGACAGAGAGAAGGAGACAGAGAGAAGGAGACAAAAAAAATAAATAAAAAAAGAGAGAGAGAGGAGACAAAAAAAAATAAAGAGAGAGACAAAGAAAGAGACAAAAAGAAAAAAAAAACAAAAAGGAGACAAACATAATTAAAAGGAGACAGAAGAGACAAAAAGGAGACAAAAAAAATAAAGAGAGACAGACAGAGAAGGAGACAAAAAGAAATAAAGAGACAAAAAGGAGACAAAAAAATACAGAGAGAGAGAGAGAAGGAGACAAATAGAAATAAAGAGACAGAAGGAGACAAAAAGAAATAAAGAAAGAAAGAGAGAGAGAAGGAGACAAAAATAAATAAAGAGAGAAAGAGAGAGAAGGAAACAAAAATAAATAAAGAGACAAAAAGGAGGAGACAAAAAGAAAAAAAGAGAAAAGGAGACAGAAACAAAAAAAAGAGAAAAGGAGACAAAAAGAAATAAAGAGAGACAAAGAAGGAGACAGAAAAGGAGACAAAAAAGAAGATACAACAAAGCAGAACAAAAGCAAACAAAATACAGTAATTAGGGTTTAGGGTTTAGGGTTTAGGGTCTAGGGTTTAGGGTTTAGGGTTTAGGGTTTGCTGACGTTTCTTTTTGCTTCGCTGCCTGCTGCAGCTCGAACACGCCGAGCAGCAGCCAGCTGCAGCACACACAAATTAGGGTTTAGGGTTTAGGGTTTAGGGTTTAGGGTTT